TTAGTATCTTGGGTATCTAATAGCTTGGGTATATGTGTTACTAGGAAAACTTGATTATTATTGCTTGACCTATATACGTTCTGTAAAGTCCCAGCTTTGAAGACCTGTATAGAAAGGTTAGGATAGCATTGCATCAAAACAACTGTGATCTGCTTCTAACCGAATGTTTACCTCTGAAATTAATTTCGTCCACCAAGGTAATTTTGACGTATACCAGGGGAAACTAGTATTTTTGGACCCCAGGACGTCCACGTACACGTTGAATCCGATATACTAATTTGCTAAAAGAGGCCCAGAATGAACGGATGACCACCCCACGGGTATTGTTCGTTGTCAAAACGCCTCTCTCTCTCTCTCTCTAAATCAATCTGTAATGTTCTGTGTATGTTCTACACTAAAGTTCTAGTTTACTAATTGATAATAACACTTGGCCCCAATACTCGCACCTGGTCGAACTTAAATTCCCCATCAGTCATTATGCAGATTGCATATCCATCAAATTCCAGATATAATAATATGGATACCAATCATTCCAAGCACTCCCAAATATCCGATTGACAGTCACACACGCGACCTATCGCGGCGCAGCGCCGGGTCGTAATTTTGTTAAGACGTTCGACCTTGATGTCCGCGCATTCGCGGCCTGTACATTGTAACTTGGAAAAAATTATTTCAGTGCTGAAGGTCGAACATGTTTTATTCTATGGGATCGGAAAAGTTATCGCTATCAACTACCGATACCACTTTTCCGATATAGCGTTTAGTTACATAACAAATTTTTAGCTTGTAGTCCAATCAAGTTCGGTTCAAGTTTTACACATTTCTATGGTTCGGAACATGGCGCCTTATAAGTTATAAGCGTGGCACTTTATTTGCTAGGAAACCTCCATCATATGCCAACGGATGGAAATTTGACAGGCTATACGAGCCCCTTTCCACTTCAGTTGGCCCACTTCAAGATTAGTACCAAAATATGCCTTTATAAACTAAACATGACGAAACTATTTACTTCTAAAACAATTAGTTTTCTCAAATACATTTTAGATACACTCTAGTCCTAAAAAATACAAATCACTTAGACCTATAAGTAATAGAACATCTGAACAAATAAACAATGTGCGAATAAATGCGCGAAGTTAACAAAGCAACAATTGAAAGATTACCGTTGGGTAACATCACCTTTATTTTTTATTACGGCTGAAATTCTTTGGGGCATAGTGTTAACCAAGTTTTGGCAAAAATGTTGTCGTAGAACTTTTTTCATCTCGTGCCACAAAGTTTCAATAGGTGACAGATCTGGACTGCGAGAAACCCATTTCAAAAGTGGTACATTATTTTCTTCCATCCATTTTATAGCCTTTTTTGAGGTATGGCACGCTGCACCATCCTGCTGAAACACAAAATCTTGGCCGGATGTCAAACATTTGTCCATGACTGGTAAAAGCGATTCTTCTAAAATTGCCAAATATTTGTTTGTACCCACATTTCCATCAATAAAATGAAGTTTTCCTACTCCTTTTGATGACATACTGCACCAGACCATAATGGATGCTGTAAATTTCACTTTTCTCCTCAGACAGTCAACATGAATGCTTCATTTTTTTTGCGAATAACTCTACTGCGACTGTCACCAACACAAACTTCGAATCGGGCCTTATCACTCCATTGTATTGCACACCATTGTTGAGGTGTCCATTGTCTATGTTCTTTATCCCATTTTTCTTTTGCAGTGGAGTTAATAGTGGCCTATAAACAAGTTGTGCAACTTTAGGGTTTCTACTTCACTTTTTTTTATAAGAAAACTTACCTTGCTAAATCCCAGGTTGTGGGCCTCTATGAGATATGGACCTCAAAATTCTCCTTCCAACAGCGTCACTCCACAGAGCACTTAATCGTAAATAATTGGCACGCCTGTTTTCGACGATTATTCTTCTTAATGCTCTTTGATCGGCATTTGTGATATTACCTTTTTTCACATATCGTGGCTTAGTATTAACTGAACCAGTTACGTTATATCTTCTAACAATATTTCTCACACTGTACCGCGATAAGTCTAACAAAGTTGCAATTTCTGAGTTTGATTTCCCAGAATTAAAAAATTTAATTATCAGTAACCGAATTTTCTCACTAATAACCTATCCTCTACCCATTTTGAAAACCTTAACTACCCAAAACTATTTTAAACGTATTCTGACGGCTGTGATAAATAAAAGCAATTGTCATGGCTTTTATTTTTCACAGCCACCTATGCGTTATAGACTTATTTTGCATTGAAATGAAAATAGGTTGATATGCTGTAATTGCAACATATGTTATTTTTATGCTGCAAATTTGATTAGGGAGTGATAAAGTTGGTGTTTTCTACTATATATTATCAAAATATTGATTGTTAATATTTTAAACCTATAACACCCTGCTACATTTTTCTTATTTGTGTTTGATAAGAAAAAACTAAGATTTCAATAGTTGGGCCAACTGAAGTGGGAAGGGGCTCGTACATGATACAAATTTAAGCATTCTATGACGAAAATTCTCCAACTGGCGCTGCTTTGTGTTAACAGTATCACTCTTTAGGATTGAAGTCAAAGTTAAATTTAGGACCCTAGTTCCTGGTTCAAATGAGACCATTCACAGAGATCTTGATATCCCATATCTAAGGAATTATGTAAAACAACAGCCACAGCGGCGTTATAATCAAGCCGAATCTCACAGCAACCCTCTGTTGCGTGATTCAGTAGACTACACAGTCGAGCAAGTTCGCAAACATTCCAGGCCGCGCCTCGCATTATTTTTTGGAGTTACAAAATAATTCGAGTAGTCAAAGCAATAATGCTTAAGCTATTTCAAATGATTTACTTCTTTTCTTTGCTCTATTTCTTCCTTCCTTCTTTCCCTTTTCCCCTTAAACATGTTTGGTATCTGGGTAGCCAGACCTGACAGACTAACAGACCGACGAGACTTTTAACTAAGAGCAAAGGTCCACCGGACCACTCTGATGAATAATGACGAATAGTATAGTTGCACGCAAGTCAAATATTGCATCTGGTAGAGGAAGTCAGAGACTTAGAACCTCCCATTTATAGGTGGGTTTTCATACGATTAATCTCGAAATTGTCTTTGAACTAGCAAACCTTTTATTCATATTTTAGAATTCGAAACTTTTCACTTTGAATTGAGCTTTAAATCTTGGTCGTAGATAAAAAATGTCAATGTGCCAGTAATGTTTATGATTGAAGACAGTTTTCCCCCATTCGGATGTTAAATCTGTTGAAATCGAGATTAGAATACACTGATTGAGACTTGGCCTTTCACATCATATACCTAGTCGGTTACATAGGCGACGAATTGATCTGCCGACAACTTTCAGATCAATTTGCATATCGGAAAATGCCTAATTATCTCGATTAGCAAGAACGCGCTTGATAGGCGTTATAGACAGGCTCATTGAATATTTAAACTTCACCATCACAGAGCCGTAGCTATAATTGAAGTCCTGGTATTTAATATATGCTGTCCGTTTTACTTCGTACATCGACCTATCAGTAAGTGTTCTGTCACCGCGTAGTCTCAGTTACAGTTTTACCAATATAAAGTCACCGAAACCAAGGATTAGATCATACGAAATATCTTTACAATTACCTGGTGGTGATGAATGATGAACAAGATGAACAAGACATGTATGTCAACATTTAGCAGCGCCGTGTATCGAAGGTTTGATCATTGGGGAAAAAAGACGAGTAGATTTTTTAAGCAACATAAAGAAGGGTTGTTTTTTGGACACACTCAGGGCGACATCAATCCAGACGCTGAGCCACAACTAACTAGGAACTTCACGGTGGCCGTCATGCGTCAGAATTTTCTGCGACAAAACGTCGCAAGATTTCAAAACTGTCATCAACATACGAAACAGAGGAACTTACTTTGGTTGCAAAACTGAAAACCGAAGGAAAATACGCTGGAGCAAAACTTATCCCAGAATCAATTTTGACGACTCCGACCAGAGCCAGTAAAATGAGGCAAAGGATTCAATTCAATTTAAAAGAAAACATTCCACCCACCCCAGACGAAGCTTTCTCAGTAATAATTGAAGCAAATCATACGAAACACTTTGTTCATCGACGGACAGCAAAGGAACATTTGCCGATATCTAACCGTTCTATCTTAGACTTCGAGAAGCAAACTTATATACTGCTATTCCCGAAAATCAGAAGAAATTTCAGAGAAAAAAAACTCGAAAAACATCAAGTACAACAAGAAATTAAGATTTATTCAACAGAGTCCTTATAACTTCTGGTCCTGTAATTTTATTTATGCGGCAATGCCCACTCTGAAAAAAATCAATTCCATGTCCGAGAGTTATTTTCTTGTTGAAGGCACCATCAATAGAATCAGTAGATCCAACTTCTCCAAGAAGGCTACAGTTTGATAGGCGAAGCTGCGAACTTATTTCATCTGACGAGCAAGATGACGACAATTTCGGGAATATAGACTTTTAGTTTCAATATTAAGAATAATTATCCCACTGTGAATACCAAGTAATACCATAATTTTTTGTACAATTAAGTATTGTCTTAGTATGGCCATGATGACACGTGTCAGCGTAAGTAGCAATTTTATTTAGTTGGCTCTGGGTGCACGCGCTCCGGTTCAAGGTACACAACCGCGCATATGCCGGCTCGATCCTATTTTATTTTTAAGCTGTCGTGAAAAGCTGCTTATAGATTGCATGCACCGATAGCTACTTGTCTTTTTTGTCGCGTGCAACAATACCTGTTTCATATAATCATTTATGACAGTTTCATCGCATATTTGCAAATGAGAGCAAAATAGTATATTACATATCGAGGTCGGAAAGTGTGCTACTCTACCCACCATGACGAAATGCTCCGAGCATCACCGTGCTATGATGTGTAGCGAACGACTCGGGGGTTTTAACGAGTATACCGCATTTCTGGGGAATCTCACACTTTAGGTAGGAAAAGCCAATAGGGCAATACAATTGAACTTTTCCTGCCTGAGAAGAGTGGATATAAAATGTTTCCCCCGTCAAAAAAACTTTCTACTGCCTACTGGTCTTCTGGGATGATCTCGGGGATGCAATAATTTACTTGGCTCCTGACGATATTTTGACGTAATAAATACTGGTCGCCTGTAATTTAGGTTTCTTATCAACAATGCAATGATACAGCATATATAGTTTCATGCGCCTTATTGAAATATGTCGTTTCACTGAATTCTGTCAAATTATCAGCCGTTTCAGAAGTTCACTCATTAAAACGATGCTATCACTGATTGATTGATTTTTAACTCTATGTAATAATATGTGTATAGTTTAAAAATAGTGTTAGTCTGCATGTAGCTTTATAAAAAAAAACACACTTAGTAGTTTTCAAAACATTTAGCAAGAATGATCACTTTACTTTCTCTATCATCATCCCCATTTTCGAAGAACGATGTCGTTTCGGGGAAAAAATCGAAAGTAGCTTTTTTACCCGATTCTCACTACTCATCATCACGTGTGAAGCTTCTCAATCTACAGAAACTAATCAAAATGACTACCTCGACGTGCATGGCATCAATCTCATGATATGCTGCGGAACCCTTTCAAATACATCGGATTCGTTTCTTATTGAGTTAAATCCATCAATTTTCGGATTTTCCACTGGATTTGTGTAAAGTAACTCTGGAGTTCTGCATAAGGAATAATTTAAAGGGTTCAAAGTTTAAGTAGGCTATAAGTTAGGTACTCCTCGACAGTCTAAGACGAGAAGATTGTAGTCTTGCATTTTCGCTAAATGTACCTAACTATTAAGAATCGGAATTTAAAAAAATTGAGAAGCTTCAAACATTTACTAACAAAAATTTTGCTTCGCGAATATTTTGATCGCTAAACGAAGCGGCTTTTCAATAAAATTATCTCAGAAAGGAGTGAAGAATCACCTTTTGAATTTTTGGCCTGTTAGGCCGGTCACATTTACACATAGTCTAACCTTTGAATATTTTTCGCTGTGTGTTAAAGATTTGATTCCAATTATTTCAGCATATGTTTTCACGTTTGCATGACAGCAGGAACTGGCCACAAAATCCATTGTGCGTGATTTTATTTAAATTAAAACATATCACTCCCACAACATATTCTTTCAAAAAAAAGTCAACTGCAATTTCCATGGCTATCTGTCTGCCGTCGCTAATAAAATTTTAATACTTACCTGTTAGCTTTCAGCCGTAGTGGATATAGTAGTAGATCGATTGTATTAAACTTTTATGCCACTGTTTACTCCGTGGCGCATGTAAAACCCATCGTACAACTACACTACAATTTTCCATTCAATCACAGAGTGGCTACAGTGCTGTATCGATTTAAATTTGCCATCGCTTGTAAAGGGAACTGAAATGATATTACGCATTTTATATCAACTATTACATAAGTGGTTTTTCATATTATGTTAATAGTTATCCAAGTAATAAATAAAGGCTGCATTTTTTCGGGAAGCGTGACCAGAATCTGATTATGATCCAGTAGAAATTGAAAATGAAATTTTGTATACGGTTAGACTTGAGCAAGAGGGAGTAGTGACTAAATCTTGAACACGTATAGCACGCTTCTCGCGCTTCTCTCTCGTACACATTACGACGTCAGTGGCATCTGGTTTTCAGCGTATACCTGTGCTGATATTGCACCGATCTGTTGCGTGAAATAAACAACACAAAACACAACATCCATGGCTCGGAATTAACTTCCGAGGCGGAGATTCGAACCCACGAGTCAACCGATCAGTCCCAAGCACTCGGCTACGCAGGCCTCCTCACCATAGGCGGCCAACCGTGTACAGACGTTCCATGCTTATCGGCAATCATCAGTACGGTCTGAGCTAGGTATCTAGGTAGGACAACGAACGAAATCAGAGCAAAGTATTCTCTCTCGCAGAGGTCAATTCTGTTAATAAATGGCACGTATGCTAGTGCATGATCTTGTTATGAAATGCGGTTTTCAAGCGTTTGGAATAATGGCAAAATTGAGGTTCTAGTATTTCCTGGATATGCGCCGTCATACATCATCTAACGGAAACTAGAAGTTAGAGTCTTAGCACCATAGTTAATAGCGTCCTTAACCATAGCTGCTACAGTATCGTGCACATGACGTTCAACAAAAAACTATATTACGTCTGTCTCCGTGACACCTCCTGATCTGCGCGGGTATTACTTATCTTGAAAAGTGAAGTTATATCGATTTTTTTGACATTATACTTTTTATTTTTTGACATTATGTAGGTTTTTCGACAAGATGTTAGCTTAGCACTAGCTGATGGGCACTTGTGTAAACTCGTTTTGTAGTTGTACGTGTGGCCTAAAAGTCATGAGGATTCAGTTATCAATGTTGTGTTGTAAAATCTGCTTCAGTGATGACATTACTGGAGGTAACGGCGTAGTGAAGATTTGTGTGCCAATAATATGTGTTGATGATAATTCCATTGGATTCTTGTCTCAAATAGACTTACTTGAGATTCAAAGCTAGAAATTAGTTGCGCATCCACTTTTTCTTATCCATTCTGGAAATTACAAACGCAAATTTGCTAAATTTCAAAAACGAGAGAGATAAGAAATAATTATATTCACTGTACACTGTCGAATTACAAGTCATATATGTACATGCTAACAGTAATTATACACAACGCGGGCGCGGTAATGATTTCCCATAATTATCCTCAAAGTTGTTGAAAACGCAAAAAAAAACGTAAAAAATCGTAATTGATAACTTTGAACATAACCTGTCTTCCGAGAGATTTTCTGGGCTCAGTTCTTTTTTTAGGGACGCATGATAGGCTAGAGTCAGGGGCTGTCTCGGAGAAAGACATAATGAGGAGGTTTCAGTGGAACGTCACTTGCACCATACTATAGGAATCATGGTTTGAGGCGCCATTACATATTATGGTGCTATGTGACCTCTAGTTTCAATTAGAGAAGGCATGACGCCTTAACGGTATCTCCAGGAAATATGAGAACCTCGTGTTTTATTCTTTCGCCATACGCTTAAGAGCTGTATTTTCCAACAAGATAGCATCCGTCCTAATATTGCTTTGGCCTCCTAGATCTCCAAACCATTCGACATTTAACATGCGTGGAATATGATGGGAAGAAGAGCGATCTCTTTGTTTCATACTGCATCCACGTTAACGGCTTTTCGGAATCAAGTCCGGTTAGCTTGAGATGGGATACCTTAAGAAGATATAAATCACCTCATTTAAAGCATCCCGACGACTAGCGTCAAATTGGCCCAACACATTTTAGCGAAATCTAGCGATATCAAAATTTTATCATGACTTCCTCTTACTCCTAACTGTATACAAAATTCATTAAAATTAACTCATTTCATTGGGTGTTTGTTCTATTTTTGTTGTCACTTAGGGGCATTTCACGACCCATAATAATTTATTTCCCAATAAAAATTTTTCATGTAAAGGTCAAGACTTTCCAAAGTTTGCAGCCGTCTAGAAGCACGTATCCATTGATTAGACTAGAAACTCTCATGTAACTATGTACATATAAGGCACTTAAGTATTATACGATTAATAAATAACAGTTATTTCATACATTATTTAACTAGTCGATATGCATAATATAATAATATGTATTACTCAAAACGTAAAAACAAATAAATAGCTAAAAGTTCAATCATGCTAAAGCCGGGATGGGAACAGTTATAATGAGCGGAGCCATCCGAATTTAAAATTCAAAAGAGAGATTTGCAATTGTAATGTTCATGTTTGACACAATTGCTGAATTATTACATGACGATATTTCCAAACAGGGAAGTGAAAGAGGTTTTGCTAAGCTTCACTAGTCTTATCTTGAAGTTAAACAGAACCATGTACTAAAACCACAACTCAAAGTGTGATGTGAAGCATTGGCTAATATCGTAAGATTTTTCTCTGCGGACCATGCAAATGTGTGGTAAATGCCTCTAAGGTTGAATGTATTTTTCTAAATAATTGTTTCATATTCAAGCTCGTCCTTTATTTTCTTAAACCTGTAAAGTATCTGAAGGTCGTCTACAAAACGGTCTCGTCTCGTCTCACAAGATGCTTCTCCGTTTTGAAACCCAACGAAATAGAAAATAAATTGCCTGGAGATTATATTGTACTACAATAAACATAAAATACATTGAAGTGAGATGGTTGTTTGGGATTTACCAATCTGCTGTCGAGTCCGCCTAACGTATCAGCAAAGAAACCGTAGGACTTTTGAATGTCTTATATTAGTTGCGTTATTGAGCTTCATAGTATGAACAAGCTTTCTTAATGTATAATTTTTGAATTTATCTCGGAGCGTGCGAGCGCTTTCTGAAATATGTTTGAAGGATGTAAAATGTGTATGGTTTGAAAGATCATCATGTTTTTGTGTCGCATTTTGCAATTCATTGCTTAGTATTAAAAATACCTACCGCCTCGCATCTCGCATTGCTTCAGAATGAAAATAAAAGTTGCATTCTGTGGCACATAAAAATAGCTTGGCGGCGATAAAAATAAACTATATTTACAGATATTTTGTGGAAACGTATCTAATTTCTCTCATAATACCTGTCTTTCTTGAGCCTAAAAGATTAAAATATTCAATATTTTTTTGCACTATGATTATTCCCTGGGACTTTCATTTTCGAAATCTTTTTTTGCAAAGGATATCGAAAGTCGCACTACAATTCCTTCTTTTTTACGCGTGAGCTATCCATCGATACAATATTGTTACATTTCCCAACAATCTCATTTTGCGTAATGTCAAATCAAGTGGATCCGCACGCAACCTCTCCATTTTATTCTTTTATAGCACTACAAGTACGGTCGTTTGTAATAAAATAAAAGTGTCGAAACGCTACCGTTTCTGTGTACTACTAGCAAAGTATGTTATCGAATAACGCCAAAGTCGGCCTCTCTAGACTAGCACTTTTTCGCACATGACCTAGCATTGACACACATAGATGCAGTTGGTGCGACGTTGCCCAATCGTGAAGAATTCGCCTATTT